CCGTCTATCTTTCTCCTGCCTAGCTATTGGCTGTTCAGCTTTTTATTAGACCAATCAGGTACCTTAGGCAGGCAAGGTGATACAAATGCAACACATCTGTACAGAGTTAAATAAATGCAGCATACATAAGGTGCCTTTACCTAGTAAAAGTCATACTCTTCAACAGTATGTGAACTACATTGGTGGAGGTGCCCGCGGACGCCAGAGAGGTTTGTGGATCTGTTTGTTGTGAGCTACCTGATATAGGTGCTGGGAAATGAACTCGGTCATCTGCAAGAACAAGTGCTCTTAACTGCTGAGCTGTCTCTCTAGCCCCTGCTTTGGTTTCTCTAAAAGGGGGGGGGGATGAAAAGACATTCAAATAGAAACCACATTTTATGTCACATAACTATAAAGAAGAGTTGCTTATGTCACTTTGTTTTGTCCTTTGTTATATCAAAATGAAGTACACTTCCCAAAGAGGACACAGAAGTATTTTTGCCTTGTTATGTATAAAGGTGAGAGTATTTTTTTTTTGGTGGGGGGTGGTTTTGAGACAGGGTTACTCTGTGTAGCCCTTGCTGTCCTGGAACTAGCTCTGTAGACCAGGATGTCCTTAAATTCACAAAGATCTGCCCGCTTCTGCCTCCCAAGTGCTGGGATTAAAGGTAATGTGTTACCACTCCCCGACAAGAATATTGGTAATCGTTTTGCTGCCAGACATATGGTTGCGCATGCCTAGCATTCCAGCATCCGGGAGACCAAGGCAGGAGATTCTGACTTTGAGGACATCATGGGCTGCTTTAGACAATGTCTCCAAACAGCAACAACAAAATTTCACTTTTTGATTGTTATTCTGGTCAAAATTGAAAACCACAGCTGCAGGTTAATTCAACATAAAGCAGCTCCCTGCTCTAGGTCTGACGGGACCATCATCCCTCAAAGCCCATCAGGTAAGCGTACCATCTTGCCACTGCCTCTGTCTTTATAGTTAACAGGAGCCAGCAAAACCCACACTTGTTCACAGCACAGGTTCTCAGGAAGCAGGTACAACAAGTCCCCTTAACATCAGCATGGGTATTTTTCATTTTTCATGAGTATTAAACAGCTGTTTCTTTGAGGGAGTGATTCTCCTTTGAACCACATTGGGGAGAAACAAGGAATGAAAGCAGTCCTTCCTACTTTTCATATCTGGAGGCAGGACAAAATGATTTGACCCAACTCTGGAAGGTTTAGTATTCTTCTAAAATGACAAATGCTATGGACTGTTTGGAATAAAAGGTTCACCATAGAATTAGATTTTTTTCTTTTCTTTTCTTTTTTTTTCTTTCGTTGTTTGTTTGCTTGTTTTTCAAGACAGGGTTTCTCTGTGTAGCCCTGGCTGTCCTGGAACTCACTCTATAGATCACACTGGACTCAAACTCAGAAATGTTCCTGCCTCTGTTTCCTGGAGTACTGGGATTAAAGGTGTGGGCCACCACCATCAGGCAAGGGTTACTTTTTAAAAAGCTGCCAAAGAAGAGAAAAGCTGAGTTTCACTCTGGTCCTGCCAAGTTGTTCTCCCCATAGGTGACCACTAGCTACTGAAAGGACTGGCATACAGGACACCCCAAGACCAAGTTCTCCACCTGTCCCAGAGGGACAAAGACAGGGAAAAGAGACAAAGAGGAGGGAGGGGAAGAGAACACGGAGAGGGAATGGTATTTGCCCTGGAGAGACAAAAGACTGCCTCTGGCTAGTGAGAGACAGAAGAGCCTGACAGAAGTGACCCATAGGCGAAAGGCAGTTTATAAAGGAAAAGGGGGAAACTTCGCATTACGATGAGGTGTTTGATTTTGATTGGGTATGTTGATTAGAGCAGCGTAAAGGAGGCTTTTGATTGCTGGACTTGAATACATTAATATCTTGACCCTGGTGGTCAGCCTCAGGGGCAGGAAGTGGCCAAGTGAAGGAACAGATCTTGGTGACTCCTTTAGCTAGGCAGAGGGACCGGGAAAGGGAAGACCTGCCAGAGCTGCGCTGCCGCACACAGGCTTGCTGGGGTCCATTTAAATTGTCAGTTGCACAAACAAGACAACGAACAGGTGAGGCAATGTGAAGAAAGCCTTACAGGCGGCTTTACCCAAAGATTTAGATTACGTCGTGTGTCTCACCAGATAGAAAGAAGACAGAAATTAACATGGCCCCGAAGTGAAGGCTGCCCAAAGGAACAAGTCAAGGGAGCAGAAAATGGTGGCACCATTGAGGCAAGGAGGACAAGAGCACAGACATCCTCAACACGTCAGACCTTTATGATAACGGCCAGGTTTCTGGAAAGTGGAAGACAGAAGATTTGTTTCAACAGGAGTCACACAGTCTGACTTGAGGTTCTAAAAGATTCAGTCATTGATTTTCTTATGCAGTTGCTCAATTTCAAAGCATCTAGCCTCATCTGCTACCAAACAATGTCTAGTTGGCCTGCTTCCAACATTCCACTCCAAGTGGTTCTATGACTTTTCCTCCCCTACAATTCCAGCTGATCATATTCCATTAAAACATTTTTCTAAGCCAGATGGTGGTAGCACATGCCTTTATCCCAGCACTCAGGAGGCAGAGGCAGGCAGATCTCTGTGAGTTAGAGGCCAGCCTGGTCTACAGAGAGAGTTCCAAGACAGTCATGTAACAGGACAAGGCCGTGCAGAGTCTCCTCCATCTTGAAGTCTTACTCAGGCTCAGGCAACTTCAGGTTTCACTAGAATTTGATCTCCTTGATGGAGAATCCAGTGGAAAATTATCCAACTCTGTCCTAAGACCTGATGCCAAGATGTCCCAGATAACTTATCTTGGTTCCTGTTAAACTGCTTGTTTGAGAAAATGTCCCCTTGCAGCAGCAGAGCAGACACCAGGATGTGGTTTCTGCCTTTAAAAGCCCCTCGGTCTAAATGCTCAGGGTTACACTTAGGGCCTGACTACCTGAGTACTAGTAGCCTGCTGGAATAAAGGCCTTTTCTTTTTGTAACAGCCATGGCTGTCCTCGAACTCACAGAGATCTGGCTGCCTGTGCCTCCCAAGTGCTGGGATTAAAGGCATGAGCTGCCACCACCAGGCAAATAAAGACTTTTAATTGACTATAAACTGTGTCTGGAAGGCTCCCCATAAGATTTTGGAGGCCCCAGTGAGATCCCCAGAGACTGAACCTCAACACTCAGGAGAAGAGTACACAGGCTGGGAAGAACTCTTAAGGAGTGTGCACCCTGAGATGTCCCTGGGCCCCAAGGAAATCCTCTGTGAGTGATTGTTGCCAATTGCTCTGGAGGCACATGGATGCTGCCACCCAGAAGAGAAAAAAAGAGGGGGGCATTGAAAGTCATCTGATCTGCTCCCTCTGGAATTCAGTTTGGCTATTTAATATATTTCAATAATATCTGGTTAGGAAAAAAGAAGGCAGGTCAGACAGGACCATAGATCCTGTCCATAGATATGTATGAGACCTCCTCTGATTCCCCTTGTCTGCTCTGGTGTCTGAATGTGTGGTAGCTATTTGTCTTTATTATGTGTCTCTGTATGACTGTGTGCCTCCCTATACAAGAAGTATGTTTCCATCAGCTCTGTTGCTTGGAGAAACAGATCTAAATGGAAGGGAGAGTGAGCCATCCCAAAACCACAGCCACCAAAAAGGGGATTCCACAGAAGCCAGAGGCAATAGAGCTGCAGAGGTGGCAGTAGAGGAGGTGAATGTGAAACCAAAACAGGAGCCATATTGTTATCCATTGTTACTGTCTGGGTACCAAATCCTTATCCATTGTTACTGTCTCTGTGATACATTGTTACTGTCTCTGTACCACATCCTTATCCATTGTTACTGTCTCCTTACCACACTGTTATACATTGTTACTGTCTCTGTACCACATCCTTATCCATTGTTACTGTCTCCTTACCACACTGTTATACATTGTTACTGTCTCTGTACCACATCCTTATCCATTGTTACTGTCTCTGTACCACACTGTTATACATTGTTACTGTCTCCGTACCACACTGCTATCTATGGTTATTGTCTCCATACCTTACAAGAATAAATTTCTGTTTCCTAAGCCTAAAGTGTCCTAGAAACTATGTTCTTCAACCTATGATGAATTTGATGCATATCCACTTTTGCTAAACTCCGGAACCGGTGATACATGGTTGCCCTTTTGCCTTCCGAGAATGTGTCTTCCCAGTTATCTTGATGACTCCCCTTCTATGACATATTCTTGCATTTTTCTCTTCTACAGGCAGCCTCGAGCCAAGTCCCCCATGCCTCTATCCAGTTGCTAAGAGACAATCATCTCAACAGCTGTTTTCTACCAACCCTAACCCTTCCCCACAAAAGAGACCTCAAAAGACAGTGAGGGGCTGCTCTCTGAAACCCCGACTTAGGGGAAGGCAGTCATCTGGCCAGTCCCTTGTGCACTTTAATCAGACAGTCATGTAAATGTTTTTTAGCCCCCTCAGGTCTAATATGAGGCCTCTCCCAGTCCTGGTAACCCAGTTTACTGGACTGCAGGTAATACACCCTTAGGCTAGACTGACTGGAGGAATAAGGACTGGCCAAACAGGATAGCAAGAATGACAGATGCCGCCAGACAGCAGACTCATCCTTCTTTGGAGTCTGGAAAGGATGCTGGTGTCATCCCCTGGGGAAGGGAGCACGAAAGGCCGCTAAGGAGGACAGATGGATCTGGACTCAGGCCCCTTAAAGATAAAGGTGAAAATGACCAGAGTTTACTATGGCAGAGGACACAATCCCCATCCACCCCGACCCTGGATGCAGGGATTCAGAAAAACCACAGATGGGAAACTTTTGAGTCAATCTCTGCTCTCTTATGTCCCTTCCAGAGATGGAACAATCTTGGTGTAGACAAACCGCGGGGAGGGGGGAGGTCAGAAAATGAGGTTGTGGAGAAGACTAGCCTGCAAATTGTAAAGAAGAAAAAGGCCTTCAGGAATTATTTTATGTGTGGTCTACCAAGGACTAGGTCCCTGCATCATGTCGTCGTTACCTGGTTGGTTTGTAGCAATGGACTGAGGAAAGGAGCCTCCTGCGACTCAATGGAAAGTCACACCCCACTCTATGTATACTGGTCTGTTATCCTCCAGCTGTCTGCCTATAATGGAGAAGAGGGAGGAGCTCTTATCAGCCATGGGTAATGTTAATGAAGGTCAAATGAACCCCAATTCTGGTTCTGATTCTAGTAGAGGCAGGAATAAGCCACTAAAGCTGTCGTAGGCACCTCAGCCTTGATTGTTGGGAATCAAAACTTTGAGGAGCTCAGTTTCCAGATAGATGTAGATTTAGGCCATTTGGAGAATTCTATTTCCAGGCTGGACAGCTGACTTGACTCCCTCACAAAGGTAGTCCTACAAAACTGAAGGAGGCTGAACCCTCTTTTAATGACACAGGGAGGACTTTGCACAGCCTCAGGGGAACTTGTTTCCATGCTAACCCATCAGTGGTAGTTAGTGAAAACCTTGCCATGGTCAGAGAACACCTCAAAGAAAGGAGGAGTCTCTGTTTGCCTGGCCCCCGTGGCTGACCACCTGACTGTCAGCATTAGCTAAACCATTGATTCTTATTCTGATCAGACTAATGATGGGACCTTGTATACTCAACTGCATGGCCAACTATTTATTTGTGGTTTGGCGGAATGAATTCCCACAATAATAAACTCAGCTAAGCGCTTAGTCCTTAGAGCCAGCTGTATCCCCTTACAATAGGACTAGCTAATGATTTGATTCATGCCCACAGTGGGAAATGTGACAGGAAAAGGCAGTGCAGAGGTTCCTCCATCTTGTATTCTTGCTCAGATCATTTTGGATTGAACTAGAATTTGATCTTCTTAATGGAAAATGCTGTGGGAAACTACTCTAGGAAGGCCAAAATGTCCCAGGTAACTCAGTTTCCATTAAACTGCGTATGAAAACCTCTCCCTACAGTGAGGGAGATACCAGGATGTGGTTTTTGTCGTTAAAAACCCCTAGGCCGCTGAGTGGTGGTGGCACAGGCCTTTAATCCCAGTACTTGGGAGGCAGAGACAGGTGGATCTCTGTGAATTGGAGGCCAACCTGGTCTACAAAGTGAGCTCCAGGACAGGCTCTAAAGCTACAGAGAAACCCTGTCTAAAAGAAGAAAAAAGGAAGGGAGGGAGGGAGGAAGGGAGGGAGGGAGGGAAGGCAGGCAGGCCCTTGTTCTAAATGATCTGGGCTACACTTGGGTCCCGAATACCGACCGGAGTGTAGTCGTAATAAAGGCTTTGAGTTGGCTATAAACTGTGTCTGCTTGGTCATCTCTGGTAGTTTATGGGTTTGGTTTTTTTGGTGGTGGTGTCTTTTGAGACAGGGTTCCTCTTTGTAGCTTTGTCTGTCCTGGAACTTGTTCTGTAAACCAGGCTGGCCTCGAATTCAAGAGATCCAAATCAAGAGGGTACAATCAGAAGATAGAACAGAGACAGGAAATGCATTTGGTTTTTATCCTAACTCAGGTGGTGACAGTGTCTTTTTCCCAAAGGCTGGGATCCGACCTCACAGTGTTAATTCAGTTAGCTAGGCTGAAAAGACTTGGCCCAGGGGGTCACTGCTTCAGGCCTTCTAATTGGTAGAATGCAGCAGAAAAAAACAAGGTTTTACTGGGTAGGGGACTTAAGATATCTGCATTAAAATCTTACAAGTGGCAAGAAATAAAAGATCCGAATTCCCTCTCCTATCAACAAGCTTTAGAGTAGGTAAAGACATATATTTGTTACAATAGAGCAGCAGTCATATGTCTGCAGGTCGGCCTCAACATTAACTGCTTTCCTTAAACAAAGGAAGTTATGCACAATCTTCCTGGTTTCGGGAATTCAGAGGTAAACCCACCGCGGCTGAGCGGAGCGCTAAGTTAGGAAGGGGCGGTGCGATTCCTGCACACACTTAAGCACGGGAGAGGGGACATTAGTTTGCAGTGGGTGACTTCTCGGGGATGATGCCGGCGTGCAGGAACTCAAGCCCGAAATCCCGACATCTGCAAGCGCTAAAACCTCACCAATCTGCATTAAAAACACACCGATCCCACCAACACAAGGCTGGTGAAGGCACGCGGAAGAAGCTGCGCCTGCGCGACCTGCCCGCTCCGCGCGCGCGTCTGCACCACCGGCCAGGTTGCTTGTCCGCCCCAGCCCGCGCCTGCACGTCCACGGGCATTTCATGGCGAACCTCGCCTAGGCATTGCCGAATCCCAGGCACAGCCACCGTGGAGCAGACCCCGTGGGCGGGCGTTCGGGAAAGCCTCGCTGGGCGAGCGGGCGGGCCAGCAGACAGGGGAGCGCCAGCCGCCAGAGGCATTGTGGGAAGGCGACGCGGCGCCACGTGACACGCCCCCGCGAATCAGCGCGCAGACCGCACTTTTGCAGTCGGCTTCAAACAAACTACCTAGCGGGGTCGGGCGGCTCCGGCCCGCCCCTCGGCCGGGGTCGCGCCCGCCGAGTGAGGGGCCCGGGGGGCGGGGCGAGGCGACGGAGTGACAGGCCGCCGCACCTATGCGGGGACGAGGACACGGGCGCCGGCCGGCGGCGCAGCCAATGGGGGCGGGGGGCGGCCCGGCCGGCGGGGAGGCGCTGGGGAAAGGGGGGCGGGCCCCAATCCGGTTCCATCCGGTTCTCCCACCGCCCCCGCGGCGGGTCGCAGCAGTCGGTGCGGCGGCGGCTCCGTGACAGGTTCGGCCTTGCACGCGCCTCCCATCCAGCGCCGCCAAGATGCCCAAGAGAAAGGTGAGCGCGGCGGGAGGGACGGGCGACAGAACCCCGAGCGGGGGTCGGGCCGGAGGGGGTGCGGGTTCGGGAATCTTCGGGGGGCGCGGGCCGCTCTCGTGACGTCACGCGGCCGCATTGTTCTCCGGTTCTCGCTCTTTCTGCAGGTTAGCGCGGATGGAGCGGCGAAGACGGAGGTGAGCGTGGGCCTCGGGCGGGCCGGGGCGGGCAGGGCGGCGGGGGTGCGGTCGCAGCGTCGCTCACCCTGCTTTCTCTCTCCGCAGCCCAAGCGCCGCTCCGCGAGGCTGTCGGCCGTGAGTACCGCGGGGCCGGGGCGGGAGCGAGCGGGGCCGCGCTCTGCAGGGCCGCTCGCCGCCTCTTACCTTTCTTTTTGTCCCCTCTCCCTAGAAGCCCGCCCCTGCCAAGGTGGACGCGAAGCCGAAAAAGGCCACGGGAAAGGTAGGTCTGGAAACGGCTGTGCAGGCAGGCCGCTCGGTTGAAGTTGAGGCTCCTGGAAGGTCATTGCGGGCGGCTGGGTACATCCTTAGCAGTTGTGCGCGTTTGGTTTTTGCAGAGGACCTGAGTTCAGTCCCCAGCACCCACAGGGCAGCTCACGAACGTCCATCATTCCTGTTTCTAGAGGTCTCCAGCCCCAGATGCGCGCGATGCACAGACACAAGTACAGGCCTTTTTTAAGAACTCAGAAGCATGTTATGAGCCGAAGAGATGACTCACTGGTTAAGAGCGCACACTGATTTTACAGAGGGACCTGGATCTGTTTGAGTGACAGCTCCAGGGGATAAAAAGGTGTGATAACCTCTTCTGGCCTCCTCAGGCACAGCCGGCACAGGCACACATGTGTGTACGTAATTAGAGGAAATGAACATCTTGTGGACATGAGTAGAAACTGAACTGTTGGGATAGTGGCTGTTGTAAGTATGTATGAGTGAGTGTGTGTGCGTGTGCGCGTGCTTATCACAGAGGCAGGAAGAGGGTCTAACAGCTTTGAGCCATCAGGTGAGTCCTGGGACTTGAACTGTCTCTCCCATTACCTGTTAGTGGTCTTTTTAAACACAGCTTCTAGAAATGGCGACAATACCGTCAACTAAGACTTTCTCATGCCATTGGGCAGTAGTGGTACACGCTTTTAATTCCAGCACTTGGGAGGCAGAGGCGGGCGAATCTCTGTGAGTTTGTAGCCAGCCTGGTCTGCAAAGCAAGTTTGAGGACAACCAATGGTGGTACACCGAGAAATTCTGTCTCAAAAAAAAACAAAAGAAGATAAAACAGAATGGGTCGAATGAAGTCACCCTACTATATGGAACCCCACCCTCCACGTTCCCTTAAGACTGTGTTGGTTCTCTTGTTTACCTTGGGGCCTTTTAAGTCGTGTAAGTCACCAGCGCCCATAAGGAATTTGGCTTTTATTGCATCCAATTATTAATACATGTATGTGTTAGTACCACAACCATAATCTTAACAGAGAACTGATGTTTTTTGTTGCTTTGGTTTTGGGAGGCGGGGATCACTAAGCTCCTTTTCTTATAAGCCAGATGGGATCCAGAAATAATTTCGTACTGCTTAGGGTTTAGTTTTGGACTTAATGTTTCAAGTAATATCCTCACACTAACATGTGTGCTTTTCACATTCTACAAACACCCAAATGAAAGCACCTCACAATTGGTCTTTTTAGCTATTCATTATATAATATCAAGAAGGGACTGTGTGGCGGGATAGACAACATGACCTCACAACGTGTGTATTGTTGATGGGGAAAGACCCACATATGTGGGTACAGATCTTGTCAGAGCGGTGGTTGTGTGGCAGGTGGATTATTCATGCTTAAAAGACATTGCTGGATTGGTAGGGTTACAAGACTTCTGCATTTAATCTCTGATGTGTGGTGATGGCCATGGTGCTGTGGGGAGTACAGCATAGGCTTTAGGCTGAATCTCAGTTAATGAGGTGTGATGGTGACTCAGGAATCATGGTCTCCTTGTTGGGGTGAATCTCAAGTTGTCTGATACCAAGGCTGTGTTTCTGAGTGTCTGAGGTTGTCTCACAAGATACATTGTTATACCCATTGTGGATACAGTCTGCACCAAGTCAAAATTAAGTGAAAATTGTGTTGAGATGTTCTCTTCCTCTTGTTTCAGGATAAGTCATCGGATAAAAAAGTGCAAGCAAAAGGGAAGCGGGGAGCAAAGGGCAAACAAGCTGAAGTGGCCGACCAGCAAACCACGGATCTGCCCGCAGAGAACGGAGAGACCGAGAACCAGGTCGGAAGAGTACACCTGCATGAGCTCATGTTGGGTTTGGGGCAACAGATGTTAAATTGAATCTTGGATGTAGCAGATTAGGGTTTGATTCTGTTTTTCGAGACATGATTTCTCAAGTGTGTCGGCCCTGGCTCTTTCTTCTAACACTTTGTAGACCAGGCTGGCCTTGAACTCAGCCTCCTAAATGCTGGGATTAAAGGCATGCGCCAGCCTTACATGCCGTGTAAGGTTTTGGTAACAGATGTTCTGTCCTTTAGAGATAGTCTCTGTAATTTCAGAATTTCTAATTCTGAAATGGTTCATCTGCTTCAGCCTCCAGCTACTGGGATTCCAGGCATGAGCCACCAGGCTAACAGCAACTAGCTTTTGTTGCGCCCACAATTCTTATTTTTCTAACCTTTTGATGTACTGGTTAAGCTTAGGAAGGCAAATTGGAATGATGGGTTTTATGTGGTGTCCATACATAGATACTTGACATGGTGATCTTTGTTATTCTCCATTTTCTGTATTTTAATGGGATCCCTTGATAGATGAAGCTTTCCTGCATGCTGGGATTATAGATAGCCTGCAGCACTCACCTGGCTCTGATGGGTGCTGAGGATTAGCACTCGGTTATCTTGTGTGACTTCACCTACCAACTCAGTCTCCAACTGGAATAGTTTTATAGGAGTATTTTATATAGCACCAGCTGTCTTGGAACTGGCTGTATAGACCAGGCTGACCTTAAACTCTGGGGTTCTTAGTGGTCAGATATTTGCATCTCAATTTGAAAAACACCCTTACAGACCTGAGCCTTGGCCAGATGGTGATGGAAGAAGATGCCTTTAATCCCAGCACTCCGGGGCAGAAGTAGGCAGAACTCTGAGTTCAATGCCAGCCTGGTCTCCAGAGTGAGTTCCAGAACAGCTAGGGCTACACAGAGAAACCCTGTTTCGAAAACACAAAAGGAAAAAAAAAAAATGGGCAGGCATAGTGACACACACCATTAATCTCTGCACTCTGGGAGAAGAGGAAGGTACGTCTCTGAGCTTGAGGCCAGCCTGTTGTAAGAAATAAATTCCAAGATAGCCCGGGCTATGTGAAGGACAGTGTCTCAAGGAAAGGAAAGAAATGGCACCCATGCTGTGCTGTGTTAAGTGTTGATTGTGGCCATGGCATACGGTGTACTTGATCTTTCTTTTCCTGTGGTTTGCAGAGTCCAGCCTCTGAAGGAGAAGAGAAAGAAGCCAAGTCCGACTAACCATCCATCATGTCTGTCAGTGTCCCCGCCTCCCTTCTTGTACAATCCAGAGGAATATTTTTATCAACTATTTTGTAAATGCGAGTTTTTTAGTAGCTCTAGAAACATTTTTAAAAGGTGGGGAGAAATCCTGCCTCATCCCATTTTTTAAGTGTAAATGATTTTTTTAAGAGGTTAAATCACTTGCTGGTTGTTTATTTTTTGGTACAACCAGAAAATAGCAGGATACTGAATCAAGAGAGGCTGTGACTGTCTCGGGGGTCACCATAACATTCCGTAGAGGGGGCTAGTTTTATATCCTACAACACAAAGCATATACTAAGTGGTAATTTGGAGTCTCGGTCGTGCGTTTGTGTCCCTGGAATATTTTCCGTTATATCCGGTGTCGTGTTTTGTAGAACTGTTGGCTAAAAACCCACTCCTTGGTCCTTACCCTGTCAGGACTGTCTGCCTATAGCAGTCCATTTTCCTAACAAGTATAACAATGTGCTGTGAAACATTGAACTTGAGATTGTGTCCTGTGCGTGGCATACAATGGTGAGTCAGTGGAGTTGAGGATTGTGAGCAGCTAATTATTATGTGAGGTCTTGGGGAAGACTTGGGGTGGAACATCACTTGGAATAAGTTCAAAGAGAAACAACACATGGCTCTTTTGGGTACGAGAACACAATGTATGACTCCTCAGAGTTTGGGTACATGTTTTAAGAATTGAAATGTCTGTGTACTTTACTCCTCAACCAATAAAATCTCCGTTGTGAAAGCGTTATTTGAAAGTGCCAGATTGGTTTAATTTTCTGATTAACTTCCTTTTTTTTTGTTTTTTTTGTGTGTGTGTGTTTCTTTTCCTTCTGTGTACCCCTGGCTGTCTTGGAACTCATTCTAGACAAGGCTGGCCTCAACTCAGGTGTCCTCCTGCCTCTTGGCTCCTTCATGTTTGGGATTAAAGGCATGTGCCATCACTCATGGCTTCTCTAATTCTTTTTTTTTTTTTAAATATTCAGTATACAATATATCCCTTCAGGCCAGAAGAGGGCATCTGACCTCGTTACAGATGGTTGTGAGCCACCATGTGGTTGC